ATATTTATTATCGGACGTCTTTATTCTATGAGTATTGATTCGGCTAATTTATGCATGATAGAACAGAAAAGCTTTAAATTAAAAATATTTGATGATTTTCTTGACACAACCACAATAAAAATATTTGATCATCTGGGCACAACCACAACATATCAATTTGAACACCGAAGATGGTATAGGAATACCGAAAAAAGCTTTTCTGTTCTATCATGCATAAAATAACCAAAGTTTTGGTTTTGAACTAAAGAAACTTGTTAGAAAAATCGAAAAGTTAAATTGGAACACGCCGAACATGCTGTGATTTTCATCAATAGTTTTATTTTTGACATTCTTAATATATATGTATATATATATATATATATATATATATATATATATATATATATATATATATATATATATTGGATTAAGAGTGTCAGAATATATATATATATTATTAATAATGTTTTGTCAAAATATCAGTATATATATATATATATATATATATATATATATATATATATATATATGTATATATATATATATATATATAGAGAGAGAGAGAGAGGATACTTGTATATATAAATATTTTACTACTGTGTTGTTGAATGCCCTGGGCGTTCATGTGACTATAAAGTGAACTGAACGAACTTTATCCAAATGCATAACAACGAAACTTAGTCGACTGAAATTTAGCATAAAATAAGATCATTTAAAAAATGTATTGTGTTATTAGTGTGCTGTTTTGAATGACGCAGACGTTTATGTGATTATAAAGTGAACGAACTTTGGTGAAAATGCATAATTACGAAACTAAGCCAATTGAAATTTAGTATAAAATAACATCATTTCTAAAAACTAATTGTCTCTTAAAATTAGTTTGTTTAATAATTTAATTGTTACAAACAGTTTTCTTCATTGTTGGTCAAAATGTCCGATAAAATGAACCATGTGGACATAATACTGAAATTTTTGAAAGACTATGCCGGCACGAAGGACAGTTTAGTTCTTACAGGGAAGACTCTTACTATTGCTGATATAGCTAAGTTTTCTTACGAGATATGTACTTCCAATGTTGATAAACATTGCAAAACAAATGGAGATGAAATTTATAAAATATCTTTGCCAAACGTTTCTATAAACATTGAAAATAAAAATCATTTAAAAGACAATTCAATGTTTTTAGAAAAATATACAAAGCTGAGTAAAGTTGTATATGGTGTGAATACAGGTTACGGAGGCAGTGCAGATGTAAGAAACACAGACGCTATTGAAAACCAAAAATCTTTAATATTTCATCTGAATTGTGGGATATCAAACAGAGTGTTAGTGTTAATAATTTGAAACATATTTCACATGTTAACATGTTTGTGAATATCTTAAAAATATTGTTTAGTATGAATCCAGGATTGGTACGGGCTAGCATGCTCGTACGTGCAAACAGTTTGTCAAACGCTAAATCTGGTGTGAGGCCTGAAGTTGTTCAGTTACTGTGTGACATGATTAACAACAACATTGTACCCGTAGTTCCATTAAGAGGGTCAATAAGTGCGAGTGGTGATCTTATGCCACTCTCTTACATAGCTGCTTGTATGTCGGGGATGAAAGCTGACAGTCCAGTTTATTTTAACGGCTCAACGAGTGCCTCTGCGAAAACTGTATTTGATAGATGTAATTTATCGTTCATTACTTTTATGGCCAAAGGTAAACTCATTGTTTTTTTTATAATGTTAAACGATTATTAAAATCTGTAATTTGAATTACAAATGTAAAAATATTATAAATTCTAAATAATAAATTAAATTATTATTAAACTATAAATTTTTAAAAATTTTAACACCGGGTTAGTTAATTTTCATTACGGTAAACAAGTTATCTCAAGCAACACAAGTGCCATAGGTTGTTAGCGCAAGCTGACTTGATTAGAATGCTGTCTATAATATTAAATACATTGTGAGCTAGCGTGTGTATATGCAATGCACGTGTAGTTTGTCTACAAATCAAATTGTAACTAATTCATTTGTAAGCTTTGCGTTTATCAGAGATGTAGTGACGAACGAAAAATTTAGATAAATCTTTTTACTATTCTTCAAATTTGAAGCGTAACAAATAGTTAACGTTTCCTTGTAAAAATTTTTTATTTATAAAAATCAGACTCTAACAGAAGCAGAACGTAAAACATTCAAAAAGGCATATTATGGAATGAAGACGATTGAGAGAATAACTTAATGGAAATGAGTTACATATATGATATAAATATTGAGTTAAAAACAAACATAATGGGAAAACTTGTGAATAAATGAATGAATGAACGAACGAAAGAACGAACGAATGAATGAATGATATTAGTTAGAATAGAAAAATTGAAACAAATGACAAAGGGTTATTGACTATTATTAATATATTTTAGGTGTCTTGTAATATAGGCTGATAAGTCAATTCAGTGGTGGTGTGATTTACGTTGACGAACGAAGCGGGTGGTAGTTTTGAATGGCGGGTAAATCACAATTAACAAATTTCCATTATTTCTCGTTAGCAGAGTTCATTTAATTGAGATATCTATCGTTACTAAATTTTAATAAGATTGATTAGCTAATTACATTATTTGTTCAGTCAAAAATTTCAATACATAAAGGTATAAGGAAACCTAATATTTACAATCGATAAAATGTTATTTTCGAATGCGTTTTTGAAAAAAAGAGGTTAAAGGTCTTATACACTCTTCCTAAGCTCAGAGGAATCAACGATGAACACACATCGTACTACTTCAATACCTGCTAAATGATGCACCAAACACAAAGAAAGTGATAGGCAAATCTTTTGTCATACTCGAACCAGGACATTGCACGGACTGCGAAACATGCCCAGGCGTTTGTAACTGCTAAGCCATCAAACCTTAACAAAAACCTCTGTTCCAAGATAAAGCATAATTATTTGACTTAGGTTGTTGTCATTAACTTTTGTTAAAGTAAAAAATAAACCAAAACAAACATTTGAAATTTTGCATACAGAAGCTCTCGCAGTTATCAATTCTTCATCTTGTGCAGCCACATTAGCAGCCGTCAATTTATTTGATTTTGGTAGCTTGATACTTTTGTCCGAACTTGTAAGTGCAATGTCGGTTGAGGTTTTGCACGGCAGGATGGAATCATTTCATCCCATTGTACACGAAAGTCTTCAACATTTCGGCATGAAAGAATTTTCAGAGGCCATAAACAAGCTCCTCCGGGGATCACAATTTGTTAGGTTAAAAGCAAATGCTATTTTTATATCGTAGTAAATGCAGCATAATTTTACTTCATATTATCATTAATTAAATAACTATCGATAGGTTTTTTCCAGGTGTGAAAAACGCCTGGTCAATTTTGAATTTATCTTGATATTTCCTAATTAGCTATATATAACTTGTTAATTTAAAAAAAGAGTAATATTCACATAATCTTGCTAACCTGTACTGTACAGATCGAATAAAATCTACGACATATCCAACACTAATTGTGGCCTGGCTCAAGATCGTTATCCACTCAGAACTTCACCTCAATGGTTCAGTCCGCTGATTGAAACGCTCAGTGAATCCATCAGAAAAATAAATGTTGAAATCAATTCTACCAATGATAATCCAATTATTGATCATATTAACGAAAAGATTATACACTGCGGCAATTTTCAAGGTTTTGTTGAGAATTCTATAAATTTTTAAACTAATTTTTTTGTAAGTGTTGACAATTGTAGGAAGTAACACTGCTGTAGCGATGGACCAAACGCGTCAATCTGTTCAAATGTGCGCCAAAATGATTTTTGCCCAGCTTTCAGAAATTTTGAATTTTCACATGACGGATGGGCTTACACCGAATTTATCTGGTTGTGATTATACAAATGATTTTGGATTCAAGGTAAGTTTATTTTAGTTGTAAGTGAATATATATGTTATCATGTCAACATAATAATTTCTTCAACCTATACCGACCCCGGTTGTCATCCTTTTTATTATAATATTTTTTGGCCAACTCATCGAAAGGCATTTTAAAAATTAAAAAAAATCTTAGCTTCCAGATCACAATAAAATAAAATCAAAAATTATAAAAATATAAAGTTTAAAAACTAGTTGAAACATTAAAAAAGGACGGTTTTTATCGCTCTTTGAGGCACAAGTTTGTACGGTCATTTTGTTGCTATTGAAAGATAGATTTGCAAATTATTTTTGAGCTATTAGCCTTTCTAGGTTCTTTTTAAAATTATAAAAAAGGCTTGGCTTTTAGATTACAAAATAAAATTTAAAAAAATTATAAACACACACACAAACACATACACACATACATACATAACACACACACACACAAACACACACACACATATATATATATATATATATATATATATATATATATATACATACACACACACTCAATAAACAATCAATCAATTAGTTAATAAAGCGCTATATCCGCATTGCCGCATTGTTCAATAGCGCTCCACAATGAATTTTGCAAACAGATGGGTCTTGAGATCCGCTCTAAACTTCGTAAGTGATGGAGAAGTAGTCAGAAAAGAAGAAAGAGAATTCCAGAGAAAAGAGCCAGAAAAAGCAAAAGCAGATTTAGCAAAAGAGTGTTTAAAACGAGTCAAGAAGATGTGAGAACACGAAGACGATCGTAAACCGGGGCGTTTAAATTTTAAAAATCATTCTATATTTTATAGGTAGCCAGTGCAAAAAAACAAGATATGGAGATATTTGAAAAAAGGGGCACGTGCAACTAGACGAGCAGCAGAGATAAAAGCTTTACTTAAAGGAAATAGTGTAGAATCAGGAAGACCATAGTAGAGCGAGTTACAATAATCAATCCTAGATAAAATTAAAGAAGCAACAAGAAGGAGAATAATAGGATTGTCAAGAAAAGGTAAAAGTTTTTTTATTCTACGTAGACGGAAGTAAGAACTACTAGCAACACTATTAATCTGAGAACATAGAGACATTCTAGAATCAAAGATAAAGCCTAGACTACAAAAATTGTGGAAACAATAAGAGTTTTAAAATCAGGTAAGAATCAATGACTCACACACAAACACATGTGTACTCATACTATACGTACATCTACATGTATATGTGTGTATTCCCGTGTGCGTTAGTTTGTGGTGTGTGATAAATTCATAACTTTAAAAACTTAATTTTTTTTATTGCTTTCATAACTTTTTTGTTGCAGGGTGTAGATACAGCGTTAGCGTCGTATGTTAGCGAAATTCAAACTTTAAACAGTCCAGTGACGAATCAAGTTTTGAGTGCAGAAATGCACAATCAAGCAATAAATTCCTTAGCTTTAATCAGTTCAAGAATGACCGCGGAATCAATTGAACTATTAAAAATGATTCTTTCATCTTCGATTATATGCTTATGTCAGGCACTTGATCTAAGGTGGTTACAAAAAAAAGTCAACGAAAGTTTGAAAATATCTTTATCTAAGATGAGTTTTCCGGTATCAAAATCGTAAGTTTAATGAATTTAGTTAAAGTAAAAATTTGAAAAAAATAAAATGTTTATACCCAGACAAAGCTTGAATTTTCAGTGGTATGACATTCTCTTTAGATTTGATAACATGAAAAATCGTTTAAAAAATGATGAATCTTTATGGTTTTTATTGACGGGACAACACCATATTGATACAACATCTTTGAATCAACTTACAACTTGCCTTAAAACTGAATGCGAGCAATTGGATCTCATGTTAAATAAAAACGGACACATTAGCCACGTGTGCGAGCAACTCGGTTCAGGTTTAATAATTTTGTTTCATTATTTTGCAAATAATTTATGATTTTTGCATTGTTTTTAATCAATTAAGTATTCAATTAATTTCCATTTATAAATTATACCGCCATTAATTTACTCTTTGCGTATACTTTTCAGGAACCAGAGTACTCTATAATTATGTTAGAAATGAATTAAAAATACCGTTCCACAGAAATCTAACACCTTTAGATGAATCTATTGGAAAAATGTTTCAGGCAATAAACAATAGAGAAATAATAAAACTCTTGCAAGAATCTTTTAGCAGTTAATCTCATTATAACGATTATTTCTGACTTAACATTTATTATAGATAGTCAATAAAATGAAAAATTTACTTTATAAAATTTTATTCTTATACCTACTTATTTTTATATATTAAAACAAAAAAATAAATGAAATATAAAATTAATAAATTTATATATTTGGCAGCAGTATCGTTATGAATAATTCATTTTAATACAATTAAACAAAGACTAAGTCAGGTACTTTAAAAATAGTGTTAAATTAAAACAAATTCGAGAAAAAACAACAACAACGATTAAAATTGGCACAAGAACAATTTCAACCGGTTCAAAAGTGAAAAGATCTGTAGAGCGTTGTCGTCAATTTGTGTGACGGTGTGTTAATTTGCACCCTCTCTATGGATAACTCATTATTTTGTAAAGCATTATTTTGTCAAATTTGTACAGCTGATAAAATTAAATCGTCAAAAATTTTAAATTGTTTTCAGTATTTATGTTCAAAAAAAGAAGCAATCTCAAAAGGAAATTTTATTCACTAAGAATTTTTGGGAGTCGGCCACTTTGATGTATGAAAGTTAGCTAGCGAGACTAACGAAAAACGTTAGAAATCTAAATCTTTTTGAAATAATTTCTAACCGTCAAGTAAATCCCGTTTTAGTCCCTGGATGATTCANATTAATTTTAAAAAGAATTATTTATGCGAAAAATTATTACGCTATTTAATTCTATTAATTTATTTATTGCATAAATTTACAACTTTACATTGAAATTTCCTGGAAATTTCAAATAAATTAACACGATTAAAAAAAACTGAAAATAGTAACAAAATCTTTCATCTTTTTCTCGTTTTTTCAGTTTTGAGAAAATTGCATTTCTTGATATAACACAGAAAACAAGAAAGCAAACGAAAAAAAAGCATATCACCAGGTCACTGTCAGATAAAGTGTTTTGATCATGTAGTTAATGAGTCGAGTTCTGATTGGATGGTGTTTGTGTTAGATGATGGGATGATAAGATAGGTGTCGTCAACGTATTTAATGATTTGATTAGAGCTATGATGAGTTTACAGATTAAAAGCGTTGATGATGAAATTATTATTGGTGTGTTTATTGCAATACATTGCGTAAAACCTTACTAAGGCAATGCAATGAATGGAGAGAAAAAACATTAGCACCGGTAAGTTTGGACAAAAAGATGGTGTTTCAACCGTCTACAAAAGTGAATAACAAACAACGCAGGATCATGAAGGTTTTTGGGCAAACCATTCCAGACAGCAGGACCCATTACGTGGAAATTCTCTCGACCAAAAGCCAAGTTTGTGTTAAGTACAAACAGTAAACCTGAATTGTCAGAGCGCAATGTTTGACTCAGCAGTGGCATAGTTTTAGGAATGATTCTGTCATTTAAATATTTAGGTGCGACACCCTTATTACATATAAAAACCGTTGAACATATCTTGAAAAAAGCGCTTTGACAAACCGGAAGCCAGTGAAGAGCAAAAACAATTGGCTTAACGTGGTCGTATTTGAGGCCACCTAAAACCAACCTTTCAGCCTAATTTTGAACCGACTGCAGTTTAGCCATATTTACACAAGACAGGCTATTGCAATTGTCTCTTTTTGAATGGATAAAGGAATGATCAAGACATTGAAGAGTATGCTTGTTTAAAAATCGTTTGATGAGCCTAAGCCTACGCAATTGTCCAGAGCATTCTTTTAAAACTGCCCTTGTACAAAAGTTAAAACACATGTTATTATCAAAAACAAATCCTAGGTTGCGTGCAGATGTTCGAAATTCAATGTTCGAAACATCAAGTTTGATAGACACAATGTTCATTTTTTCCAATTGCGGAGTTTTTGATTGATTCAATTTAAGCCGATTTGCTATCATCCACTCATTAATTTCCGAGAGACATGATCTGAGTCTACAGAGCAGATCATCAAAACGAAAAAAGGGGACGCTAGCAATCATTTGAAAACCGTGATGTTTGAACTTATATCTGTCACTGATTTAAAAACATCTTCAATGAACAGCACAAGTGAAAGTTGATGGTCCAAGGACAGAACCTTGAATTACACTAGAATAAATAGGTAAGGTTGATAAAAGTGTAGAACTGTAAAAAGTAGAATGATTCCTATTAGAAAAAAAATTTATCATAATATTGCAGCTATTGTCAAGTAGAGAACTAGAAGCTAAACCGTATGAAAGTGAGAGGTGCTTAAAAATAACAAAAGCTTTAGAAAAGTCAAGAGCAATAAGATGAACATGATTATTATTTCTAAGATGTGATGTTATTATAGAAGAGAGATGATGGCAGATGTAGATGAACTTGTGGGGCGAAATGCGAACTGATCTTGTAATAGTGGTTTGATAGACGGATGATTGGAACATGGATAGATGAATGACCTAACTATAAAATTTTCTGGAATACGTGAAAGAATGGGGGTGATAGAAATTGAGCGATAATCTATTGGTGGTGATGGGTTTTTTGTTTAAGGTATTGCTTGAACTGTGCTGGATTTCCATTGTGATGGGATAAATGAATACGTTAAGCAGTGTTTGTAGAGCAAACTTAAAGTGCTGGAGATGAATGGTACGATGATTTGTAGAAACCATGAAGGTGGACTGTCTGGACCTGTAGGGATGGGCACGGGCAGGCCTTCGTTAGCATGTGCAGGACTGCGAGTGGTGTAAACTGTTGAAGTTAAGGATGATTATTAACCGTTGCTGCTTTTGTTGGTAAAGTTTTGTAGGACTGGTCGGTTGACATGGAAGCAAAGAAGGTGTTGAGTATGTCGGCATCAATGTGTTGAGAGGATGAAGAGTAAAATGATTTACTCGAGCCTCTGATTCTGCTTACTGTGTCCCACATGGCTTTTCTTCCACGCTTAATCATAACCAAGTTAAAAATTCATTAAAAGTTTTAATGGAGACGCCAATGCTATTTCATCTACTTGTCTACAATTCGCAATTTTGACGTAAAACGCGTGATGATAGCCTAAATTTGATCTTTTCAACATCTTTATCGACGTCTCACGTCAACAACCTCACTTACTTTGTGAGCCAATGTGAAAACAAACTTTCTGTAGTAATAATATAACGTTTAAAAAGTTTTTAATATGGTACCAATCGAAAAGTTATTTGATCACAAAAGGTGACAAAGTTTTGTAAAATTAAGGGCGAAATTTAGTGTGTTGGTTACCTTCCTACACACACGAACATTGAGACTAGACTTGAAAGAATTATATTTATAATTATTATATAAAAACAAAACAAGAAAATATCCATAGATAGAATATAGTTAGAACTAGCTACTAAATGAATACTTTTTAATTTTAAAAAAGCTAGTTAGTTCCAACAAAAATTTAAATTTTAAACTAAAGTTATAAAGTAATTAATGGAGCTGTAAATATAAACACGAATACTAACAACCCCCCTCTTCTCTTTATTTTAATGTCATAAATCATGTTCATAAATTTATAATTAATTATTTATTATTATAAATAAAAAATACTTTTTGAAGTGTTTAAAAAAGTTTACTTTAACAAACCATTATCTAGTATTCCATTTTTATTTAATTTAAATAATATATTAAGTACTTTAGATAAAAACTTTTTACTTTATATTATATTATAAATTATATAATTATAATATAAAAATAATGCATTAGAAAGACTGACTACTCATCCCAAAAAATTTAAGTCACAAGTTTACTCACACTTGCATTTCCCGTTACCTTACATAAAAGTTGATTTAAATCTGCAACAAGATACATGTCATGGACTTGTGCTTTCTTAAATTTATAATTTAAATTAGTTATAATAATATTGTAAGTTTATTTTACATTAAAAATATAATTAATATGGTTATACCAGGTATCTTATTGCTACAATTATTCATATGACACCAGACAAAAAATTAAATATGTTGAAAAATGCAAATCCATAAAATAAAATAATTTAAAAGTAAATAAAATCTTCAAAAAATGAATGAAAATTATTAACAAACTATAAAAATATAAAAATTTAATGTAAAATTTGATGAATTTCATTCATGAAAATGAAAGAATGACATCAGACCCTAAAGCACACTATAATGTGCATGGGTGTCTTTGAGGGCTACATTAGGTATTTTAATTATATGGGCCTACGCTTCATTTTCTTGACTATTAATATGCATGTCATAGGCTTAATTAGATTAAAGCATTGAGACTTTGAAGTCAGGGTTAATGTATAGGTCAGGAAAATAAAAAATGTTAGTCTCTAAATGTTTTAATAAGCTTGCACCTGTTTACTTGTAAGGCAAAAGTTTCAAAATTTTGTCACATTCTTGTCCTGTGGGTTTGAGGTCATCATCAAATAATCTTCATGTTAAAAGCACCAACTTAACATCAGCTAGCAGAGATTCTGGAATTGCTTTACTTATGTGTTGGAACAGTTTGCCTGATGGACTGACGTTAGCTGAATTCTAGAAACGACTAAAGATTTATATATATATATATATATATATATATATATAAATATATATATATATATATATATATATATATATACATACACAAACATATACAATACAGAGCATCCTGTCTATACCACTTGGGCGTTTTTTGGAATTCATTTTCTGAGTAAGCATTGCACAAACAATTCAGATGAACACAATGGTTGATATAATTTACACCACTGGTGTTGTTTGTAAAAAAAGAAACTTCAGTAGCATCTCTAATAATTGAAAATGTTTGCAATTGTCTTTTACCAATGAAACTAACAGTGTTCCACAAATCACAATCAGTTCCTCATTTGTCTTTGTCTTGGAAACATTGAAAATAGTGCATTTGCAAAATGCCTTGCTTTGACAAGCCTGGTGAAAAACTTTTTTAAACTTATTCAAAGTAGGTGAATAGTGGAGATATTCAGTTTCTCATCAGTCTATTGGTAGTGGCTGTCTATTAAGAAGATCAGATTACTTTTGGCACAAATATTCAATATTGTCTTATTTTTTGTAGAGTTGATCCATAATGAGAAAAATATGTCTGGATGGTCTTAATTTTTTTTATCAAATGTTTTATATCATTTTCGAGGCATAATTATTGTAATTTATTTTCAAGATGTATTATTTTCATCAATATCTTTGTTTTACTTGAAAAACCTGAAAATTTTTTATTTGAAGAATTATTTTTAAATTATTGTTTTAAAACTGATAATATTATAATTTGTATAAACTGGTTAACTTTTACATTACTTGTGCAGGTGTCATTCAGCATGTGACATAATGTTACTTCTGGTGTATCTGCCGTTTGGGATGTTGCTGTTTTCGGTCAGAGTCATCTATTCCATTGAAGTGTACATACTTTCTTGTATTTTGCCAAAAGACTCTATTTTCAGACAGTATATTATTTTTATGTTTTTTTTAATTTTCATTGTACCTAATTTGTTTTTTCAGAAAATTAATGTCTTGAATTCTTTATTAGTTGGAAATATTTACAACTTATTAGTTTTAAGATTGGATACAAGAACTGGTTTTTTATATATTTTTTATTGCCTCTCTTAACAGTAAAGAAATGTAATGGTGTTTCATGTTGTTTAAGATTAAAAAGGGTAAACGTATTTTATATTATCTTAGCTTCATTATTGTATTTTGTTTTGTAAAAAGATTATAAATTGAGATTGAAACGTTTTTACAATTAATTTTGCTTATTTTATTTTGAATTATTTTAAAAATTCCCCAAGGTATCTTCTAAGGCCAATGAGCATAATTATGGGAATTTTCATAAGAACAGAACAAAGTCAATCTGACGAGTCTGATGTGAAAATAGTTGTAGCAAACTACACAACACATTTCGATCATGCCGTTATGCAATTGGTCCATCCTTATCATATGGTTCATTTTTTTTTAAAACAATTTATGAATATAATGTTCAATAGTATCGAATATTTTTTTTAATTTTATAATTTCCTGTTTTTTACAAGTTCAAATATTTTTATTTTATAGTATTGAAGCCAGTTCAGATATTAACCGTATATAGAGCTGTTGATAGTACTTTGGATAAGTTTGGCGTCTCATTATCTTCTAAGTTTCAGACTGCCGCGTCTGAGCAGTTCCTTTACAGACTTTTCTATTTTTTGTTGTAGAAACACTTGCTTTGTTTAATCAGTCACAGTTAATTTTTCTTATCTATCAACGGCTTTTATAAAATCATTCAGCTCGTGTTACAATTTTTTGCTATGAAAAAATTAAATTTAGGAGAAGTTGTGCAAATAAAAATTATATTTGTTAATGACCTAGCGCTACTTTTTTAGTTTAACGGGTGCATAGCTGTTTGGAAATAGATGATTTTGTAACGTCTTCTACTTTTGCATTCACGTTTATGACTGTTAATTGTAAACGTATTTTCTGCACTCTAATGCTTGTTATCTTATCTGACGTATGGTCAAGTAGATGACCAATTCATGATGGCGTATTTACTTCTTGGTGGGAAAATGCCATATAGTGTGGTTAAAGGTTATATAAAAAATCGATTATCATATATAAATTAAAAATGTATATTTAGGAAACTTCTAACATTTTAAAGTTTCAAGGTAAACTATTGAAATTGAGTTACATTGTTTTTGAATATTTGTTCTTGCTTTGATTGAACATAAGTTACAATTTCTAACAAATGTTTCAGATTGTGAAAATATTCCAGTTATAATGTGAAAAACCAGTTAAGAGTTTAACATTTTGGTTTATAACTCTAAACTAAAATTAATTTATTTAAATAAATATTTGTCACAGTATCTCATATAAATTTCAGGTGTCCACATGGAACCTTTCAGAAGTGACGTTATGGTTGTTTGGCTACAACGACATGGGGGCTAAGCAGGGGAAGGAGGTGCTCATCAGAAACACTAAGAAGTATCTGAAAGGTTTTATTGCATCATATTTTCTCAGTTATGTAGTCATCATTTTCATGCCTAATGTGAACCATTTATAATGATTTGCATTTGAATTTTTTGTTGTTCATTTTTTGCCTAGAAAAAAGTTGTCTTATTAAATGATTATATGCTTTTTACGAACTTAACGTTACAAATAAATGCATGTTTAAATGAAAACTTCAGAATTAAGACCTTTTTGTTCAATTCACTCAGTGTTTGCTTATTTTATAAGTTTTCCAAGTTGAACTTTACAATTCGTGGCGGGATAGTCAAGGATCACCACAAGATTGATAGGTGGTGATTCAATTTAAAGTTGTCAGTCTGCAACAGTTTAGGTTGAATATATTTTTAAACCAACGTTGATAGTTCTTGCGTGTTTTTACTACGACCCTTTAAAAAATGTTCACTTCAGTTCTTCCTTTTCAGGTGGTTGATTATTAAATCTACATTAAAGTTGCCTGTAGTTTTTTCGTTGTAGCTTTTTTACTGTTATTTTTTATTCTGCATTTATTTATTTGAATGAATCAAATTAACTATGAAAGAAACAAAAATTCACTTTATTGACAAATTGTTGCAAGCTTTTCACAAACTGTAATGTAAGGACAGTTGTTCGATGGGTAGGTGTGTAGGAAAGTATGTAGGTAGAAGCGGGTAAATTTTGCACAACGCACGAAAGCTTCTGATTGATTTACTTTTATAATTGGTCAAAAAATGTAGCAAAAACATTGAAGGTAGCAGAAAGAGGTACATAAACAAATATTTTTAATTTTAATGTCGGTTCTACCATAATATTCTTTTCTGCTAAGTTCTCATTTTGGTTTCTTATTTTTACCTTATTTTTGTTTTTTAGCAGATTTTTAAAAATAGCATTTTATATTTTTTAAATTTAAATTTTTAAACGTAAGCTTGAAACGTTAATGTCGTAATGTTGCACTCAAAAACGAGGAAACGTAGTTGAAGTTAACTCTTTCAGTTCCTCATAACAATAAGGTTTGCTGAATTTTAGGTCGGGGAAAGTTAAAATCATGCTCGCCCACGTTCTCCGTCTTTAGTCGTACCAAAAAACCGATATAAAAAAATTTCAAGTCAGTTGGCTCAATATTTTTTGAGTCTATAAATATGAAACGAATATTTATTGTTCTTAAGGATCTTAGTGCTCTAAATTTTAATTTGGTGCAGGTAAAGTGAATTCAATATTTTAATAACTTCTCACTCAGATGCAAGCGTACCTCTTTTGATATTTCCTGAAGGTGAAACCACTAATGGCAAGTGTGGTCTTCTCAAGTTCAGGTTTTTGATTATTTTTTTTTTTGTTTCCAAATAGTTCATTATTTTATATAGAAGCAAAAACTCTACATCTACATTGTTTTTGTTTATTATTTGTTGAGAATGTTCTTTATGTTGTTAAAATATATAGGTAACAATCTTGTGTTGCTGGTGCCCATTTTTTTCAGGTTTTTCTATCACTTAATCCAACAAGTGAACTAACATCAGTTTAGCAAAAATGCATGTAAAAATTAAAATGACCATTAAAAGTAAAATTACAAATAAACATTTGAATCCTAGCTAAAAGGAAATTATTTAAACTGATAATTTTAAAAGCCATTTTGTGATGTCACTTCAATAGCTTCATCAAGTTTTATGTTAAATAGTGCCTGGCCGTTTTCCTTAGAAAATAAAGTTCAACCTGTTGCCATAAAAGTTCAGAGGCCGTTGTTTAATGTCCCGCTGGTTGGTCGTTGGTGAAAATGCATGATGAAAATGATTATGATTATATATGAATTATCATTTTTTCAATAAATTCATTGAAGAAAGAATGTCCAAACCAAACATATCATCCATTTGCAAGGCTAAGGCTGAATTGGCGTTATTTTTTCTAATGCAGTTCAAAAAGAATTCTGTTCTTTTTGATACAGACAGCTCTATAAGAATTTTTGAACCTTCTGCAATCTCTAACTAAAATTGAAAAAATATTGTTTTTCAATGAACGAACTGAGAGCATTAAGTTTTTTTTTGATCAAAAGATGAACTGATTGGCAATTTGTTAAAATTTCAGTCTCTCGTCCACAGCAATGTTGTTAGTGACATCTTCTGGCTCCTCTTTTTTCCGATCACCATCTTCCATCTCAGGTTAGAACTTCATCATTCATTCATTATTTATTAAACAAAAAGTACCAATAAACTTGTTTAAATTTTATGCAGTATATATTTTAAAATCAAAAATAAGCTTTGGGAAATTATGTTTTATTTTAGTTATTTACCTGTTCAACAAATCGGTGATGATGAAGATTCTGATGAATTCAGCAAGCGAGTTCAGAAGATGATAGCCCGCAAGCTGAACATGCAAGCAACCAACTATACGCATGCAGACAAGCTGGAACTTGTCAAGAAAATTGCTGCTAATAAGAATAAAAATATTAATGGTTTTATTTATTTTCTTATTATAATTATTATTTTTAATCCGTTCATCAAATTATTTAACAAATTTTTAAATGATTTTTCTAATCTATTAATCTTTTTTGAAATTTTCAAATAATCTCTAAACGCTTGTTTTAATTGAACGTTTAATTAGGTTAAAAAATTTTTGAAATGATATTCTAGACGTATTTCAAATTTCAAATATGTTAACACTTTTGTAATTTTGTGACTAGTGAAATGAATGCCCATTTTTACCAGATAGACCTCCCGTCAAACAGAGCAGGGATTCGCTAGATCATATGACCAAACAGGTGATGAATGTTCTGCCGCACGTCAGTGATCACGTCATCAGGAATGATCTTGGTTGGTAACTTACTATCACAACCTTATCAGTGTAGCTCATCATATATTTATATATAATGTTAAGTTTATGCGACTTGCACAAAAGGGAATTTTCTGACATTCTCTAAAATAGAAATATTTTAGTTTACATAAAACTTTTCATTTATTTATTTCACTAGCTATTTCTTTTATTATGGCGATCGTTTGGTATAAAAGTGTTGCTGTTTGCCTCTCGGTAAGACCTAATGTTTTTTTTGCAAAATGAAAGTAACGTTTTAGTTTCATTATTCAATTCGAATAATGAGAAAGCTGTTTTTAATGTTTTCAACACATAATTTGAAATAAATAACGTTAAGTTGAATAAGCTCAGTCTATAGTTTAACTCTTTTCAGAATTTTTGCTTACATTTTAAATATTTAAATTAAGAGTCTAAAACAGGTTTTTTTGTTTTCTTAGCTTTAACTAAGGATGTTGAACTGACGATATCCAATATTTTGGAGGGGAAAATTTGCCAGGAACAAGATTTCTTGCAGCCAGAAAAGCAAAATACTCAGCAACAAAATTTCAATAAGTCTTCCAGCCACGTCAACCCTGTCGATCCTCAATTGAAAATCTCAAATAAATCACCCATCAATGTCAGTATAGTTATCTGTTCCAATATTTTGTCAAACGAGTATCTCATAAATTTATTAACCTTTCGTCTTCTGTTTTTATTGAACTTTAATTTGTTTTTATTATATGGATAATTCTGATTAATTCGTTAATTCTGTTAGTTGGTAAAACTTTCCCTCGCAGATGGTTCACCGCAGTTCAACTTTTGGCAAGAGTACAACTGAGCGTCATTTGTCATTTCAAGAACGAAAGAAGTTGATGATCGAACATGCTAAACAGAGATATTTGCACAAATGTTCCCACCTTGAATGTGCTAATAATGGCAACTGACTAAAACGTTCATTTCAAAATAGCTATGCTGATGTAAATAATAGTTTTTGTGAAACGCATTTTCAATGGTAAAAATTTTTATTCACGGAAATAACTTTATGTCATTTGTTTGTTTAATCAGTAATCAATGAGATTCATAGCAAAAGCAAATACGAATAACATATAAGAAACCAACGATGATTAGTAACTAAAATCAAGTTGATGGTTGTTTTACCATGCATGTTCCAAATCGTTTCGAAATCAAAGATTTTATTTTAAATGTTATTAATTAAAATAATCGGTTAATTTAACCGTAAATTTCTTAATTTAAATGTTCTTAATATTCATTTATAAAGTGGTTTAATGTTATAATTTGTATTATGTAAATATTAAGATTTCTAAAACATAAATTGATGATAAATCATCGGAAAGGTAAATACAACTCTGTTTTTAGACTGAGGTTGGTTTGAGGTTCTTGGTTTCGCGTTCCTTTATGATGGCGGACACTGCGTCCTGAACTGTCAAGAAGATCTCAATATGATCTAGTTTTTTTATCGACATCGACTTGTTCAGGGCGTCATATACGGAATCTGCTTGTTGAAAATATGTCTGAGTTTATAATTTAATATAATTAAGCGTTTTTTGTTGAATTGCAGTTTCTTTCAAAATTTCTTTAAAATTTTGAAATAAAATGCACTTCACATGAAGAAATTGAAAAGCACAGTTTTATTATACTACTTAGATTATGATTATTGCATAGACACAATACATCAGGTATATATATATATATATATATATATATATACAGTGATGGATCTGGAAAGGCAGCATTTGTGAGCAGTTTTTTTTATTAAAATCCGGAAAAAGAACCGTTTGTGTGTGAAATCGACCGAAAATTGAATGTGAAAAGCAAAAAGTGGTCGTCTGCCACATTATCAAATCTTGATCCTCTCCCCGTGAAAATTTAAACATTTTCAATTTTTTTTGGCCCCATTAAAGTTGTCTAGATCATTAAGCCAATTTTTAGTGTTTTTTTAAATTTGTAAAAGTTGTCGATTTCTTTAATGGGGTCGGCAGAATCTTGTCCGTTTCACATGGAAAATGGCTATCTGTCTTGTCTGGTGACTTTTCAAAGCGCATTCCATTTGTAAAAATCGTCAAAAAATTTTGGCAACATGTTGTGAAGAAGTTTATAAACAAAGACGGTTGAACAGAAAACATTGAATTGCAAGTTTGACAGGATGTTTAACATTTTGAATAGGTATCCAGTATGTTCGGATGGTATGAAGTTGTATAAATAGATTCTGATGATTTTTTTGACATCTATGAATGTTTTCAATCGAATATGGGAAACTATTATCCCAAATTACGTTACAGTAAATGAGGTGATGTAGAACAAAACTATTGTAAATGATCATCGATGTTTCTAAATTAAAATTATATTTGACTTTACAGTTGAGATACTGTTTATTTTACTTTTTAATTGCCAGATGTGTTAAGACCAGGACAAATCATTTTGAAGAGTTAACTCATCATTGATAGGCAACGGTCATGTGGCTCATGCTCACCTTTTTGAGGACTACCGTACCACCAAGCCTCAACAAACGTTTTTGCAAAAATGGTTTCTACAATAATTGTAAGATTTTACTTAACTTTAAATTTATTTTTCAGACGCCAAAAACCCTGGCATTAAACATGAAAAAAATCGTAGTTAAAACAGTAAAAAAATGCATTAAATATTGAAATTAGTTTTTAACTTTTTTATTAACATTTTCAAATATTTTTTCCTGAAAAAAATAATTTGGTATTTTAAAAATGTTGAAATTTAATTATAAAAAAAATAAGGTTATAATTTACACTTAGCCTAAGTATAAATATCTCAATTTAATTTATTTTCTATATGATCGTCAGATAGTTTACGGAACTATCATATGGCAATATAGTCATAATTCGATTGATTGATTGGTCGATTAATTGATTAAAGTTAATTTTTTAATATTTATACAAATTTTAGACCTCTCAAGTCAAGATGAATAAAATTTCCAAGTTTAATTCAGCATTAAACTTGCACATAGAAAATAAACAAGTCACAATTAAATTTAAAAAAATTACAAAGATAAAATAAGGGAACAGAATAAATAATATATTAAATAAATGATATAATAATATATTAAATAATAATAATTTTATAATATATTAAATAATATATAATAAATAATAAAAATATATAACATGCTCACCGCAACACCTACTAAGTGACACAGTGACATTGGCTGGCTTCAAATTAGCTACTACCTGAACACGGAGTCGAATTACGAAGATTCTATTACTTAATTATCATATCGAATTTATAAGTTATACTATATATATATATATATATATATATATACTTAATTACCATATTGAATTTATGATATACATATTTAATCTTACCACTAAAATAATGTATATATATATATATATATATATATATATATATATATATATATATATATATATATTTCAAATAATTTATTTCAAATCAATCAAAATTTCAATGTATATATATATATATATATATGATATATATATATATATATACAAATATTTCAAATAATTTATTTCAAATCAATCAAAATTTCAATGTATATATATATATATATATATATATATGATATATATATCATATATATATATATATATACATATATATGTGTATGCGTGTGCGAGTTTGTGTCTGTATGTGTACGCATATTTTTTAATTTAAAATTTGTTCTTTTTATTTTGAATTTTTCTTCTATTGTTATGGTTGCATGATTTGGTGTATGAATTCTATGTTACTTCGTTCAGAGCTGCTATACCATCAGCATCTATGAAAGAGACCAGTCCAAAATCTATGATGACATCCGTAATACAGTCGGTCCCTTCAGAACCATCGCATTCGTTTCTAGGGGAAATCTAATATAAATTTATTTTTACTTATAACACCATTTAATTTTCTAAACAATTTTTCGTGCTGCCATGGCATCGAGTTACCAAGCTTGATTGATAAGGTTAGAATGATTTTGAAAATGAGAAACATTCAAAGACGATTATGAAAACCATACGACAAACGTTTGTGAAACTTTACTCCATCCAATTAGCTTATCTAAAACTTTCTTGCAATGTTTTTATTTAATTAACTTTCAACTTTTCAATTTTTTTTTATTTTTAAATATTTTTTTACTCATTTTCAAAATTTTTGTACAAATTTGTTGAATAATAATGCTATCAAATGTAATAATTTATTAACTATATTCTTTCCAAAAATTAAAATGTTTGTCTCTTGAAGATTTAACACACAATTTAAGCTACAAAATTTTATTAAAGAACACCTTCTCTTACCTGGTCTGTTGATTGCTTCTTGAGAAGATGCAAATTTGGAAGTTTAAGTTTGTCACAGAAGTAGGAAGCATTTGCAAAATACAGCGAAGAATCAAGCCCAATAATTTTGATCCTCTCTATTTCCTTAGCCTGTTGTTCGAAACAGTTTTTTAAATTGTCTACATAATTACGCAGAAAAAAATTTACGAACGTTTTTAAATTCGGAAATATCCTGAAAACATTCTGTTCCATGTACAGCTCCAAGTGTGCGCATTTTGGGACTGCAGAAACTAAAAATTTATAACACGCTTCAAATTAAAAAAAACTAACAAACCGTTGAGTCCTGAGTACAACTGAGAAAAGACCAAAAGCTACTCCTATTATAAGACCAAGACTGACATCTGAGAATACTACAGCAAAACATGTCACAACCCAAACAATCTACACCATGTATTTATTATTCATGAAAATTATGAAACTAAACTAAAACTAATTTAAAATTAACAACTAACCGCATCGTACTTGGATATTTTTATCAAATAAATGAGATCTAAGGCCTGCAAAAATACTCCTTTCAAATTAACAATGATAATGGCTGCCAATACGCACTGTAATTTTAATTGTGATAATTGTTTTTAAATTTGAAAATGGTTGTGAAAATATTGAACAATCAAAGATGATTATGTAAAAATTGACCATGCTAAGAAATTAACTATTTAAAAATTAACATTTGGGGATTCTCTGAAACACGGACCCACTGCCAAAATGACAATCAACAGCAACAAAGATGAAATCAAACCAGCCACCTGAAATTAAATGAGCTGGTGTAATTGAAATGCTTTACAAAGTAAGAAATTACTTTGAAATGCACAATTTACAAAGATTCTTCACTGT